GGAAGATACTTTCCATCTTAAAACGACCTCTCTCTCTCTTACATACAAATGATATATAGTTCCTTTGCTGCTTTGGCACTTGCATGAGCGGTTTCTGAAATGGGGATTGCTTTCCTCTTTTTGGTGGATCATAGTTGCAATATGAATGCAAAGCCTACAAGATGAATTCACGGCTGCCATGTCTACTAGAGCATTAAAAGAGTCTGATGGACCCTCATACTTCCATCTCAGTAAGTAGTTAAAATTTTCAGGATTTGATGCAAGATATTTCATTTTCTGAGCAATTAATGGAATGTCATCAAGAGATTTAATGTGTAATATAGAATCATTAGAGGGAGCAAAATCTTGAATATTCGGGGCGCCAATAACCACTGGGACTGCCCCTGCAGCAAGAGACTGGAAGAATTTCTCTGTAACGTAATCCTTCTCATTAGAATTCTCAAAAGCCAAACTGAATTTGTATCTCCTTAAGGTTTCTACTTTGTTCACATTACCACCAAGGTTTTTGTGACAGCTTCCATATGAACCTATCTTGACATCCATCTTTTCAAGCATACTAAGAGCTTGCAGACGGAAATTTCGTGCCCCACAGTTTGAAATAAACGCAGCAGCAATGGGATCTTCAGTCTTGGGTCGCATCGGTGCCATAATGTCATACTCAGCCCAAGAAAAATAGCCAACAGGTACATCAGATGATAGGCTGGTTGTCATTATGATTTTAAACCCTTTCCGTCGTGCATGGTCAATGTTATTCTCAGCATAGTAGTGAGATGAAAGATGGTTATGGCTCATATCAAGAGATCTAACTGAATCAACATCTCCAATAGAATCTGGCAGCGGACCAGAAAAGCTGTTCCCGGCCAAAGACAAATTTTGGATGCTCTGAAGCTTCGCTTCCCGATATCTTTCGGTATCTCCCCAGAAAACTCATTGCAGGAGATATCCTGTAGTGAATGTGTTGAGCGGATACTCACCTGGGCGGAAAGCACATGAACGTCGGAAGAAGCTTCGGTCTCAACATGCCTGAGTGCTGAGTGTTTGGATGGGAGTTGTCTTCAGCTGTTTGGCTGTCCGATCCTTGCATAGCATCAACAGGAAGGGATTCCATCTGATCACAATGCGTCTGTCCCACCCACTCAGCCTTAATGGTTGCACGTCCTGGCCAAGGCGGAGAGGAA